CCCAAGAGTTTGGGGTTGCTGTGAGCTGTGACACCACAACACTCCACGGAGGGAGACATAGTGAGACTCTGTTTCAAAAAAAAACCAAAAAAAATCCTATTCAAAAATAATATGGACTTTAACAGGTAAAATGCCATGATGCTTGAAGTACTATACCCTTGGAAAACTCAGAATATCCAAAAAATGTATACAATTCCCAGAGAATTAGCCTTTCCAAGTCCCGTTTCCCAAACGCCAATTCCCTTACAACTACTTCTAGGAAGGGTAAATGAGAAGAGATTATAAGTCAGATTATAAATCAAGGGACTGTTATTTTTTTCATAATTGACAGAAAGCACAGCACATGCCCTTGGGCAAGTCATCTTCAACTGTAGGCCCCAAATCTCTATGACCACTTGCAGAAGCCAGGAAGCAGAAATTATAGATGACCTTGTCTTAATCTCCAGTTCATCTGAAGTGATAGAAGATGAGCTTTTTCCTTGGCAATGTATACCACCAGGCAGCATTCCTGGAGATGTGAAGGAGCTATTATGCTTGATGCTTACTTTTAAAGAAAGGAATTCTCAGTAACTTACTCGTTTGCAGTACCAAAAATCCAGGCTTGGTACATACTTAAGAGTAACCTCTTTGTCATGGATCATCAGAGTTCCCTGCAAAGACAAAGACAGAAGCCATCAACATAAACTCAGAAAAATAGAGACAGAAAGGCATAGACAGCCTTTTCAATCCACAAGTTGAAACATTTTATAGAGAGAGTTCATCAGCAAAAGGAAACGGCTGTTTTAAGCCACAGGCTTCGGGCAGTGTGGCAGACCAAGCTTAAGCTTAAGCTTAAGGAAGGGGAGTGAAAGGTGAAATTGGTCTTCGGCCTTGGCTCCTGCAGATTTGGGTGATGTCCATGGATAGGAAGGCTAGGTCCAATCTACTCATCCAGAGGTCATGTATGAGTTCTCATGAGTCCCAGCAAATCCCCCATCTGGCTCAGGAGCTACCACACTATATCAAGATGTAAACTCTTCCTTCTATATGACAAAAGGCATAGGAGCCCTCTGAATTATCTTTTCCATGGCTAACTCATACATCCTTGGAGAAGTAGTGAGGGCTGTATATTTGGTGCCTGAAAATTTTCTTTGGAATACTGGCCTCATGGTAAAAGCATCAGGAGAAAAACATACAACATCAAAGGAAGAAGACAGGAAGGTCAAAACTTCAAAGCAGGTTATATCTTTATAATAGCAGGAAACTATGAAGTGGTTGTGGTAGCAGCAACAGCATCACTCTAGTGTGGAGCCTACACAGTGAGTTAACTCTGAGACCTCAGGAGCAACTGTTGGCAAATAAGCCTTTGGGAAAGTCTGGTACAGTAACAGGTAGAAAAAGGTGCTCAGTAAGACTGTTATACAGGCCGGGCTTAGTGTCTCACACCGGTAATCCTGCTGTGGGCTATGACACCATAGCACCAAGGAGGGAAACAAAGTGAGACGCTGTCTTGAAAAAGAAAAAAGACTGTTATAGAGCTCCTTGCCTCTCCATTTTGATTTTTCTTTTCTTTTTTTGAGACAGAGCCTCAAGCTGTCCCCCTGGGTAGAGTGCTGTGGCATCACAGCTCACAGCAACCTCCGACTCCTGGGCTCAAGCAGTTCTCCTGCCTCTGCCTCCCAAGTAGCTGGGACCACAGGTGCCCACCACAACGCCGGTTATTTTTTGGTTGCAGCCATCATTGTTGTTTGGTGGGCCCAGGCTGGATTCGAACCTGCCAGCTCAGGTGTATGTGGCTGGCGCCTTAGCCACTTGAGCCACAGGTGTTGAGCCTCCATTTTGATTTTTCACATCAAAAAGAGTTTTAGACCGGGCTCTGTGGCTCACGCCTGTAATCCTAGAACTCTGGGAGGCTGAGGCATGTGGATTGCTTGAGCTCAGGAGTCCAAGACAGCCTGAATAAGAGCAAGACCCTGTCTCTACTAAAAATAGAAAAAAACTAGCTGGGCACCTGGAGACCGAGCTACTCATGAGGCTGAGGCAAGAGGATCACTTGAGCCTAAGAGTTTCAGGTTGCTGTGAGCTATGATGGTGCCATGGCATAGGGCGACGGAGTGAGACTCTGTTTCAAAAAAAAAAAAGAGAGAGATTTTTATTTAACCAACACTAGCCAGCAGATATAGCTAAAGTAAAGTGGAAAAAATTCTCTGCTGACTGACATGGGACCCTCATCCACACTAGTAAAAAATTAACTGAGGATGTGACTCCAAAACTAGCCCCTACACTGTGTTCATTCTCCCCAGTTGTGGAGTCCTCTATGTGGCCTCAGATAGGGCTCTGAATTAAACAAGTTCTGAGTTCATTTGTTTGGAAATGAACTTCAGTTTCTTGCTCAAATCCATAAACCTATTAAATAATGCTTTGCTTTTCTGCTTTTCACACACAGAATAAAATTACTGTCTTCTCAAAGGCAATAGGTGATGTCCTGGGGCAGGCAGGCTAGGTCCAGCCTGAATTCATCCAGAGGTCATGTAGTGAGTTCTCACGAATCCCAGCAAGTCCCCCATCTGGCTTAGGAGCTACCACATGTTTTTTTGCCATTGTGTTTTCTGTTACCAACTACATAGGTCTTAGCATCTGATCTTTGAGAAACTATTTTTCTGACTTGTTCTCAAGACTAATAAGAACAGTGATAGGCTGGGCACCCATAGCTTAGTGGTTAGGGCGCTGGCTATATGCTCTGGGGCTAGCGGGTTTGAACTCAGCTCAGGCCTGCTAAACAAACAAACAAACAAAAAATAGATGGGCGTTGTGGCAGACGCCTATAGTCCCAGCTACCAAGGAGGCTGAGGCAAGAGAATTGCTTGAGCCTAAGTGTTTGAGATTGGTGTGAGCTAGGATGCCACAGCACTCTACCAAGGCTAACACAGTGAAACTCTCTCAATTAAAAAAAAAAAAGAAGAACAATGATAAAGGCCAGGCAACGTAGATCATGCTTATAAACCTAGCACACTCTGGGAGGCTAAGCTCAGGAGTTCAAGACTAGCCTAAGCCAGAGCAAGATCATTTCTAAAAAAAAGCCAGGCATTGTAGCCGGATCTTGTGGTCCCAGCTTCTTGAGAGGTTGAGGCAGGAGGATCATTTGAGCCTGAGAGTATGAGGTTACTGTGAGCTATGACAACCACAGAACTCTACCAAGGGCACCAAAGTAAGACTCTGTCTTAATTTAAAAAAAAAAAAAAAAGGCTCAGCACCTGTAGCACAGTGGTTAAGGTGCCAGCCACATACACTGAAGCTGGCAGGTTCGAACCTGGCCTAAAACAACAATGACAGCTGCAACAAAAAATAGCTGGGCATTGTGCTGGGTGCCTGTAGTCCCAGCTACCTGGGAGGCTGAGGCAAGAGAATCGCTTAAGCCCAATAGTTTGAGGATGCTGTGAGCTGTGACGCTACGGTACTTTACCCAGGGCGACAGCTTGAGGCT